TGTTCTGTTTGAATGACAGTCTCCTGGTCTATGTACAAGCTCCTTATGAGTACAATTAAGTGTTCTGGAATTCTCATTCTTCTCAATGTTATCCACAATTTGTTATGATCCACACAACTAAATGCCTTTGCAAAGACAGTAAAACACAAGTAAACTTCTTTCTGGTATCCTTTGTTTTGAACCAAGATCCATTGGACATGAGCTATGAGCTATGATATCCCTTGCTCCACATCCCCTAATGAATCCAGCTTGCATTTCTGGATGCTCTCTGTCAATATACTGCTACAACCATTTTTGAATTATCTTCAAAAGATTTTAGTTGTGTGTGATATCAATGATATTGTTCGATAATTTCCACTTTCTGTGGGATTACCTTTGGAATGGGTACAAATATGGATCTTTTCCAGTCAGTTGGCCAGGTAGCTGTCTTCCAAATCTCTTGGCATAGCTGAGTGAAGGCCTCCAGCAGGTCATCCATTTGTTGAAACATCTCAGAGGGTATTCCATCAATTCCTGGAGCCTTGTTTTTCACCATCCCTTCAGTGCAGCTTCGACTTCTTCCTTCAATACTGTTGGTTCTTATCATATGCCACCTCCTGAAATGGATGATCAGCTACAATTTTTTTTTTTTTGTATAGTGACTCTGTGTAGTCCATCCATCTTTTTTTGTTGTTTCCTGCATCATTCAACATAGAATTTTGTTGTTTCCTGCATCATTCAACACAGAATTTTTCAATATTGCAATTTGAGGCTTAATTTTTTTCCTCAGTTCTTTCAGCTTGAGAAATGCTGAGCATGTTCTTCCCTTTTGGTTTTCTAAATTCAACTCTTTGCACATCTCATTATAATAATTGACTTTGACTTCTCGAGCTGCTCTTTGAAATCTTCTGTTTAGCTCTTTTATCCTGTTGATTCTTCCATTTGCATTAGCTACTTTCTTTTCAACGTCAAGTTTCTGAGTCTCTTCTGACATCCACTTTGGTCTTTTCTTCCTTTCCTGTCTTTTCAATGACCTTTTGGTTTCTTCATGGATGAAGTTCTTGATGTTATCCCATAATTATTCTGGTTTCTATCATTGGTGTTCAATGTATCAAATCTATTCCTTAGATGATCTCTAAATTCAGGAGGAATATATTCAAGGTCATATTTTGGCTCTCATGGACTTCTTTTAATTGTCTTTAGCTTGAACTTGAACTTGAATATGAGCAGTTGATGTTGTGTTCCATAGTCAGCTCCTGGCCTTGTTTTGGCTGAAGATATTGAGCTTCTCCATTGCCTCTTGCCACAGATGTAGTCAATCTGATTCCTGTGTACTTCATCTGGTGAAGTCCATATGTATAGCCC